AAAATTCAATTATTTTTAAAAATTATAAATCCCTTCTTGGAAATTCAATTATTTAAAAAATTTTATTAAAATTCCTCTAAAGAATTCAATTATTTAAAAATTTGTTGATAAAATTCCTTATGGTAAATTAATTTTAAGAATCATTAAATTATTTATTTATATTTAAAATAATTGAATTCTAGTAGAATTTTTTTTTAAAATTGATTTAAAAGTCAATCTTAATTAAAATTTTTAGATAATAATTGAATATTAAAAGCAAAATAGCGTGAATTTTCAGAAGTAATTGAATTTTGAAATTAATTTTCTTGAAAAAGTTTAATATTGAATTTTTTTTTTTATATTATTTAAAGTCTTAACTTTGTAATATATATTTAATTGAAGAAAAATTTACGAATAATTGAAATTTCGTAAAATTGAATATTTTAAACAAAATACATTTAAAAATTGTCAAAGAATTATTTCTAAAATTGTTAAAAATAATTGTAGGTATTTAAAGAAGAATTTTAGTTAAAAATTCTTGATAATAATAATTGAATTGAAATGATGAAAATAATTTTGATGATGTTGGAGTAACAATATTCTTATAATATAAAATAATGATTTTATCACTCGGTCATCTTTATTTAAATATATAAAATTTTAATAAAAATTATTATTTTAATAATATATTAATTTTAAAAGTTAATTTAAAGTATTAAAATTTAAAGAAAATTTGAATTTGTAAAATTTTTATTATTGATAAATTAAAGTGCTGCAGCAATAGCGGTTAAACTTTATGTATAAAATTAATTTAATTAAATATTAAAGTAAAATTATTCTCAGTTCAATTTTAAATATTTTAAAAACAATGTTTCTGTACCATTTTTACTAAATTTTGTTCATTTTCCCGCATGACAGCGATAAACAAATTTATCTGATAGTAATTGTACAATTTTATAATATAATTAAAATGAACGATTATTTTCTTTTTCAAAAATAGAGTATTTTTGAAAAACTGGAAAACTCGCATTGTTTTCAATTATATGGCACTTTTAGTTTCATAAATACCATTTTAATGTGTGTACAATATGTTTTGTGTATATATGTATATATAGTTGAATACACGGCATTTCCATTACACAATTCGTTGAGGCGTCATAAATGAAGTAGACCACGGCACACAAGGTTTCAAGTGAACGTGGTCCGCACACAGGTCGAGAGAGTTCAAGTTAGAGTGTTCACAAGACTTCCACTTTAAGTGTATTAGATATAACTACAAGTGGCTTTTTGCTCTCCCAGTCTGTATATATATATATATATATATATATATATATATATATATATATATATACATATATATAAGCATACATGCACTAATGTCTGTTTGTTCAAGAAGAATAAATAAGAGTCCACAATCATCATTTTACTAACTATTTTAAATACTCTAAAATACTAAGTATAGTGTCTAGACACTCAAGTGTCTGTATAATTTTTTTTCTACGATATTTATAAATTTCCTACCCCTCAATATTTCATGTCAATTTTAAGACTAATAAACAAAAAGTGGGTGATAATTTTTTATCTATTTTGTAGGGTAAGGGACCCAAAGGTGTCCAGTCATATTTTGAACGACTATAATTCCTAAACGGTATTATATAACATAATTAATAATATGTGCCCTGAAACTGTACCTCCTTAGCTAACTATTTAGCAAAAAAAAATTTTTATTTTACTAAAGGAAAATAAAACTTAGACGATTTTGGAGAAACAGCTGAAATTTTGCTTTAAAAAAAAGTGCCCCAAGGTGGCCACCCGCAGATGGAAAAGTTAACTTTAGAACGTTAACTAACGTTAGACTAACATTAGGCTAACGTTAGTCTAACGACATTTTTTTATCACTAATATCAGATTATATAACGTTAGTTAACGTTAGTCTAATGTTAGTCTAATGTTAGTCTAACGTTAGTTAACGTTAGCTAACGTTAACTTTTCCACCTGGGCACCATTCAAAAATTCACTGAAAAATTAAAAAAATAGTTACAAAAATCTATTGGAGCCCTCTACCCTACTTTTGAATTAAATTTTAGAGTCAGACAAAAATTTCTCTTGGGAATTGTTAAAATCAAAATTTTCGAAATTTTGGTTTTGTTACATTCTATATATATATATATATATATATATATATATATATATATATATATATATATATATATATATATATATAAGTAGCTAAAAAGATTTCTCCCATTGGAGGATAAAATTTAATCTTTAAATCGTTAATATAAGTTAGAAACTTGAGGATTTGAATTTCTGTTTGCCCTAAGCCCTTTAGAATTAAACTTTTTCTTTTCCTGGGGTCCATATCGAAAATCTTAAAGCCGATTTGTTGCTTGTACAATGTATGTTATATCGATTTGATAAATCTAGACCGCTCCTACTATATATATATATATATATAGTGGCTTTAAAACCGCGCCCACGTATAGAATTATTATGAATTAAGCACTGCACTGCACTCCCTCACGCTTGACCCATTATAATATATATGAACTTCTCTGAAATACAAGACTTCCAGGAATTTATTTTATGCCATACACGTGTTTTAGTAAAAAAAATCACAGTAATCAGGGAAATGTATTTAAAAAAATTTTTTTTTTAAATTAAGGGCTTAAATGTGTCTAAACGGACAGAAAACATATTTTTTTTTTGTCATAAAATAAAAGAATTTATTTTAGCACTTTCGTATCTTATAAAGTGCAGTGTAATATTTAAGTAACTTATTAAATTTTAGTTGAAAATTATTAAAAATATAGATTTAGAAATAATTTTATATAATCCAGCTGAGTTTTTATTTGTTTGTCCGCCATTTTGGATCAGCCATCTTGAATTTTTGAAAACTAACATCAAATTAGTGATCAGCGATACTGAAAAACCATGAATAACAAGCTTTTAGTAAATCATGTTTTCAATTATTTTTCATACAATTTTACAGGAATTGCTCAAAAAATGTAATTAATCGTAAAAATTTAATTTTAATTCTTCGAAAAAATCAATTATTTAAAAAAAATGTTTTTTTTTAAATTCTTTGGAAGAATTCAATTATGTCAATAAATAACAAAATTATTACTAAAAATTCAATTATTTTGAGGAATTTGAATAAAATGATTTGAAAAATTCAATTATTTTCATAAATAAAAATATTCTTTACAAGAATTTAATTATTTTTAAAAGTTATTAATTTCTCCTTGGAATTTCAATTTTAATAAAATGCTTTGCAAAATTCAATTATTTTCATAAATAACAATATTCATCACAAGAATTCAATTATTTTTAAAAGCAATAAATTTCTTCTAGGAAATTCAATTATTTAAAAAATTTTTATTAAAATTCGTCCAAGGAATTCAATTATTTAAAACTTTGTTGATAAAAATTCAATTATTGAATAAATTATTTATTTTTGTATATTTAAATAATTAAATTCTAGTAGAATTTTTTAATAAAAATTCAATTATTAAATAAATTATTTATTTTTGTATATTTAAATAATTGAATTCTAGTAGAATTTTTTAATAAAAATTGATTGAAGGATAAATATATTTAATTGAAGAAAAATTTACGAATAATTGAAATTTCGTAAAATTGAATATTGCTAACAAATGAATTTGAAAATTGTCAAAGAATTTTTTTGAAAATTGTTAAAAATAATGGATTTAAAGAAGAATTTTAGTGAAAAATTTTTGAAAATAATAATTGAATTGAAATGATGAAGAAGAGCTTAGTTTAAATTTTATCATTCGTCATTTTGGATTGGCCATTTTGAATTTGTGAAAACTAACATTAAATTTGTGATCTGCGTCACTAAAAACCCATGACTAACAAGTTTTCATTTAATTCAACTGAATTTTAATTTTTTCTTCCGACATTCTGGATCCGCCATCTTGAATTTCTTAAAACTAACACCAAATTTGTGATCTGCGACCCTGAAAATCCATGATTAAACAATTTTCCCGTAAACTCAGCTGAATTTAAATTTTTTTGTCATCCATTTTAAATTAACCATCTTGGATTTAAAAAAAAAAAAATATCAAATTTGTAATCAGCAACCCTGAAGTCTCATAAGTTTTTTTTTAAATAAATTTTTTTGTAAATCCATTTGAGTTTTAATATTTTGTCAGACATTTTGGAGTTACCATCTTGAATTTGTGAAAACTAACATTAAATTTATGATTCGCGACACTAAAAACCCATGATTAACAAGTTTCCAGTCAATTTAGACGAATTTTAATTTTTTCGTCCGCCATTTTGGATCCGCCATCTTGAATTTCTTAAAACTAACCACGATTTACAAGTTTTAAGCAAATTCAAAAGTGTAATGGCGTCGCATCATGAATTTAACGCCAAAATTCATTCAAATTCTACATTAAAATCAATTTGTCCTCAAAGTCAATTCGAATTTCAAATCAAAGTGAAATCAATTTACATAATCGACCCCTAGGATTTACAAAAATTTAGAGTCCTTAAAAATTAAAGATCAAATAATGTTTAATATTTAATATTTAATATTTAATATTTAATCCATGTTGGGAACCAAATTCACTTTCTATTTTTTTACAGTAAATATTTAGATAAATATTTTTACCTCTCAGTACAATTTTAATTGTCAAAAAAATTTCATTTACATATTTTACGTTTGCGCACACCTTTAATTTAATGTTGGAAAAACACTATTATTGAAACATTATGCAAATTCACAGTGTTTTTATTTTAACGATCGCTTTTGTGTCTATATACAATTTAGTTGGCATTTTAAAAATTCCTCCGTACCTTACTTAAATGTTATAATGACCGATAGGAAAAGGGAAAGCAATCTATTTGAAAATGGTGGAAACATTTTTCCATTCTTTGGCATTATTATCGGAGCTCGTAAATTCTGAAAAGAGATCATAAGCGTCTCGATATTATATCCGAGCGCGTATACTGTAAATACCTTTCTCACACTCTTGTGTTAATAACGTCGGTATTTTATTAGCTCTCGTGTATACGTTGTAACGTGACGTTACGAATTTTCCCGCGTCTGCTGCGAATCAGGCGATTGAACCCGGAAACAGCCGAAGGGCCTCGAGGGTGTCAATCGCCGGATTCGCGAGCAGACGCGACACTTGTGATTTAGCTCTCGTTTTTGTGACAACGTGCATCCTTCCCTGTAAATCGCCTTGACTGTCGGCTAGTGAATACTGTGCAATTACGCTACGGATATCGACGTAAGTTAAATAAATGTGTAATTAAATAATTCCGTTGTCAAATTAATATCCTTCCCTCCCCTTTTTCCCTTGAAATAATTAGCTATTCGGGCAGCTAATTATAAATTGGCGCCCAACGAAAAAACCCATCTTTCCATTCCTTTTTCTGTAAAGAACATTTCCAGAAATACCTTTTTTCAACATCTTTGTTTTGTTGAAAATTCCCAAAGTAACTTTTCATCATCTTTGTTTTGTTGAAAATCCCAGAAAATTCATTTTTCTTTCATCATTTTTTAATTGTTGAAAATCCCACCTGTCACCTCATGGTCGCCTAACCTCGAAATCAAATCTTTCTTTTCCTGTTTCCCATATTTATTTGAACATATTTATATTTTGTGCATGAAAATTGTTGAATATTATTGATTTTTAAACATTCTTGTACTGTATATTTTGGACAAATGTGACAAATTTTCTTTGTGACGGACGCAGACAATGACAAATTTCTGTGAAAAAGTGCGCGAATAAACCGGTAAAAATTAATCGTGAAAAATTCTTGGAAATCGTGACTAAATTCGTGAAAATTAGCGAAAATTAGTGAAAATTATAAAAAAGAACAGAAAATAAAGTCGAGAATTAAAAAGAAAAAGTGAATTTATCGATTAATTTTGGAGAAATTTAGTCATAGAAAGACGCCGGTAGCATTTGTTTTGATTGTCAAGGACGCGTACAGTGTATCGTAAGGTAGTAACGAAAAACGTAAACACTACAAATTCGCGAATTAATCGAGAAATAATTCTGTCAAAATTTAGAAATAAAATTCGTATACACGGTGTCAAATAAAAATTAACTAAAAGTAAGGAAAATATAATTACGGAAAATCGATACTTATACCGGGTGTCTCTAAAGTTTAAACTTAGAATAAAACTTAGAAAATTTTGACACGGTAACCGACTTATACCGGGTGTTACATTTTAATCGGTAGTGCGATAAAATATAAATTCAATTGTAAAATATCGTTAAAAGTTAATAACAATTAATAACAAATTAAAATTAATTGTTGACAAAAAGTGAAAATTCTTTTCTTTTGTTTTTCGATATTATACAGTTAGGAATAAAATAAAACTTTTTGCAACGTATACCGGGTGTGTTAAAAGTATCAATTTAAACTTTTTAGTGTTTTTCGGTAAATGAACGTGTAATAATTTTTTTTTTTTAAGCACAAAATAAACAAATACGGCAAATTCCGAGAAAACTAACAAAAATTAGTTCGAACATTTGTGATTTAGCAATAGAAACTTTTTCTCACATATAGTTCATGACGTTGAACAATAATTAGCGGAAAATTTTTTCTTTTTGCGCAAGTTGAAATTTGTAGAATGGATTAAATAACGATTTAAACTTATTCTAATTTTTCAAAATTGAATCACAAATGCATCCGAGACGTGTTTTACGATCGGATACAAGAAGAATTCGGGAAAATAAAGAAACAGAAAATATGTCGGGAAGCGAAACGGAAACGGCGAGCGAAACAGATTTTGAGGAAACAAACGCAGCGAGCGGAACTGCCCCTCCCACACACAAACAAAATTCCCCCCCACAAGACAATGCGAAATCAAATGATTTAGAAGCCACGATAGAGAGACACGAGACAATGATTCGTGCTCTCGTTGAACTCGTGCCCCCCGAAAAATTGAAATTTTTTAATTTCAACCAATCTATGCCCCTCCCAAGCGGAACAAGTAAACGAGCAGCAACAAGGAACGTATCCTTGCCAGAATTAAGGGCAAGAGATACGAAGAACGCGAGTGTGCAGTTGATGCATTCGGAGAACAGTAACCAAGGGTTACCAGATGCAGGCCCAACAACTGTACCAATAAACCGCGGTATATTACAACAGTACTTTGCCGGAATAAAGAAAACTGTTGGAAATATAGGAAAAGTACCGGAAAATGTCACAGAAAATTTTGTAGGAAAATTATCGGAAAATGTGACGGAAAATTTTCCAGAAAAATCAAAAGACGGAACTTTTGATATTAATTCGTTTTTAGGGACAAATAATCAAATGATTAAAAGTAGGAACGAATTAACAGCATACGATGAAATGCTGAGAAACGAAAGGGAAAAATTGCGCGAAAGAGAAAAACAATTAGAACGCGAACATAGGAAAATTGTGCAAGAAAAATACAAACCCTCGGCACATAGTTCGGTAAATAAAAATAATCAAAATAACAGCGATTCGGAAGATAGTTTTCGAGCGAAAGTAGATAATTATTTCGACTCAGAAAGACGCGAAATCAGGGAAAAAAGACAAAATGTCCAATTTAAAAATAAGAGTAAAAATCAGGAATTTAACTACGAATGGCCGAACGATAGTGAAATAGAAATCGAGTACGAACCCAAAAAGTTAGGAACTATTCCGAAAGGAAAAAATATTGATTTTCATCGGGAATTAAAAGAAAAATCAACCGAGTTAGATCAATTTAAAAATGAAATATCGATACGCGATAAGGAATTAGATCAACTTAGATTAGAATTAGACCGAATGAAAATTGCGATGGAAAGTTTAGCAAAAAATAAAAATCCAAATTTCGAAGAAAATTCCACGGAAAGTACGGAAATTGAAAATCCAAATGCCCAAGTCGACAACAATCGACATTTTGGAAATTTCAATAATCATTTTCCTTTTGGCATGTTACAAACACCTTTTCAAATCATGTCAAATTGGCCAGTTAAATTTCGAAATAACAAAACGGACAACCCAGTACAATTTTTAGAAGAATTGTACAGATTTATGCAAGGTTACGAGATCCCAGAAAATCGTGTATTAGAAAATATTGACGCAGTATTAGCGGACGAAGCCCTTGAATGGTGTAGGACGGTTAGAAGAAATTGGTTTTCTTTACAAGATTTTCGTGAAGAATTCGAAAGAACATTTTTAGACGAAAAGTTCTACGAGGAAATTAACACGAAAATCAAATATTGCAATCAGAAAGAGGGCGAAGAAATTCAAACCTTTTTGATTGGAATAAGAAAACTATTCGGAAAATTAAACCCGCGAAAAGGTTTACACTGGGAATTACGTCGCGCATATGAAAATTTGCGTCTAGAGTACAAGATGTACATTCAAAGAAACGATTTTAAAACGTTTGAAGAACTAGAAAGCTTAGGTAAAGAATTCGAAATTGAAAGAAATAAGTCGAAAATTCGCGGACAATATTTGAAAATAACAACGAATAAAAACTTTTCTAATGATAAATCGAAACAAAATACGAATCAGGGAAATAACGAAAATTCTAGAAAGTTTGGTGGAAACTCGAGATTCCAATCAAATTCTTCGGGAAATTATCCCCAAAGAAATCAGCCGAAAATTACTTTCCCACCTGACGCAACTACAAACGGTAGTAATGGTCAGAAAATGTTAGAAGGTCCTTCAGGTGACAATAATAATTCGAAAAATAGTCTTCAAGTGGCAGTACCAAACCGTTCTTCTGCAGGGAATGGTAATACTTCCAAGACGAACCAAAACGAGAAAAGTCATCCGAAAAAATGCTACGGTTGCGGAAAAGTAGGGCACATTCGTAGAGATTGTAGGTCGGAAAATCAGGGAAACGAGTAGAGGGGGTACTGAAAAATTCAGTATCCCCAAAAAATATTGAATTACCTGAAAGTTGCGAAACATTGGTGAAAGATTTACGATTTTTCACTAACATTAAATACCAAGATACAATTTTCGAAACGTTAATCGACACAGGTGCTACGAGTTCATTTTTTGGTCACAAAAATTGGGTATATTTACAATTATACGGTGTAAAATTAGAACCAGTAAAAAATAAACTCGTGACAGCAGCCAACGGTGAAAGTTTACAAATTATAGGAAAAGTTACGATTCCGGTAGAAATCGGTAATATAACAAAAAATTTGACTTTCAGAATTGTACCAGGTTTAAGACAATATGCAATTTTAGGAATAGATATGATGCGCGAATTAGGAATGAAATTAGATTTCGAATCAGACACGTGGTCAATAAAAGACTTGCCTAACGTACGTTACAAAATCGGAGATAGGGAAAATAAAATAGTCGAAAAAATGGTCGAAACTGTTTTGACAAAACAAGAAGTGGGATCACAAACAGGTTGGTCCAGTTCACAAAGAGAAAATAGGAAAAATTTCGCGCAAAAATCCCAAGAAAATAGGTCAAAATCAGAAAAAAATTTTGAACCAAATCTCGAGAATAAAAAAGAGAATGTAGGAAAATTCGAGAAAAAATTCGAATTAGGAAAATTAAAAAGTATCGATACAGAAAATAGTAGGAAAATTACGAAAAATTTTCCAAGGGTCGACCCGAGTAATGAAAGAAAAATTCCAAAAGTTATACCAAGACAACCCTTACAACAGTCGAAAACACCTACCCAAATTCCAATTCCAAAACCCCGAAAAATTCCTCCAAAATTAATGGATATCCCATTATCAAACAGATTTGATAATTTAGATATGGACTCAGGTCTTGACGAGACTGATGAACCATTTTTATTCCCAATCGACAATCCCTGTAAGAAAAATTGGTATAAAAAAGCGGAATTGAACAAAAAAATTAGAGAACGCGAAATAAGTTCGAAAATTTGGCGAAAACGAGAAAATTCGCAAAAAACAGAAAATGAAAAATCGGAAAAATTAAAATCGAAATATCATATGGCGATTAAATCGGAAAAATTAGAATCAAAAAATTCTATGGCGATTGGAAATAAATTTCGTATACCGTTAAATACGAAATGGATTAATTTCAAAAACAACGCGATAATGAACAACAATATTCAGGAAAAAATATTGCGAAAATCGAGTTGTTTAGATGAAACGGAATTTTGTTCAGGACTAGTCGAATTGTCCGAGGAAGAACAAGAATTTTTAAATAAATTTTTAAAAATTAGATTACCACCCCCCGAGAAAATTTTGAAAGCTACTCATTTGACTGAACACGTAATTGACACGCAGGGTACAGCGCCGATAAAACAAAGATATTATTATGTTTCGCCGAAAATTAAGGAGGAAATAATTAAGGAAATTAAAAGAATGTTACGCGAAGGTATTATCGAGCCAAGTAATAGCAACTGGTCGAATCCAATTGTTATGATAAAGAAAGCGAACGGAACATACAGATTGTGCCTAGACTTTCGTAAAGTCAACGCAGTCACGAAAAAAGATCTGTATCCGGTTCCGCTAATGGCTGAAATTTTAGATATGCTCAGAGCCGCGAAATACATTTCTAAAGTCGATTTGAAGTGGGCGTATAATCAAATCCCGTTGAGCGAAGAGTCCAAGGAAAAAACGGCTTTCGTAGTTCCTGGTTTTGGAATGTTCCAATACAAACGAATGCCGTTTGGACTTTGCAATGCTCCCGCAACGTTCCAGCGGTTAATGGACAAAATTATTACGCCTGATCTCAAACCTAAAGTTTTCTGTTATCTAGACGACATAATTATAGTTTCTCAAACGTTTGACGAACACATAAAATATCTGGAAATAGTATTAGGAAAATTAAAAGAAGCAGGGTTGACGGTTAATTTCGAAAAAAGCGAATTCGGTTGTGCAGAGGTAAAATACCTAGGTTTCGTAGTTAACGAAAGAGGACTGCAAATCGATGACGACAAAGTCAAACCTATTCGAGAATTTCCGACTCCTAAAACTATCAAACAGTTACAACGTTTTATAGGAATGGTTAGCTGGTACCGACGATTTATCCCACATTTCGCTGAAATAATTGAACCGTTACAAAAATTACTACGAAAAAATGTAAAATGGGCTTGGACCGAAAATCAGGAAATAGCAAAATTACAACTGATCGAGTTGTTGACGACAGCTCCGATCTTAAACCCCCCTGATTTTCAACACACTTTCATACTAGAAACTGACGCAAGTGACACGGGTCTAGGCGCAGTTTTGACACAAGACATTGACGGTAAAAACGTAGTAGTTGCTTACGGAAGTAAAAATTTAAGCGAAACAGAGAGAAAATATTCGACAACAGAAAAGGAATGTCTCGCGGTGAAAACGTTTATAGGAAAATTTCGACAATATTTAGAAGGTAGTCATTTTAAAGTAATAACTGATCACATTGCTTTAAAATGGCTACACAACTTGAAAAATCCTACAGGACGCTTGGCGAGATGGGCGTTGGAACTATCGGAACATGATTTCGAAATAATATATCGAAAAGGTTCAGCGAACGTAGTTCCAGATGCGTTGTCGAGAGTTTTCGAGGAAAAACAAGAAATTTCCGAGGAAATAAAAATCGAAAGTAGCGAAAATCAAACAGAAAATAATTGGTACGAAACGAAAATGAGATTAGTAAAATCAAAACCTCAAGAACATGAAAATTGGCGAATTCGAGATAATCAATTATATTTTTATAGACCCGATCCGTTAAAATCACCCCTCCTTAAAGACGAAAATCCGTGGAAATTAGTAATTCCGGAAAATTTGAGAAAACAGGTATTAGTCGAGAATCATGATAACGTGCAAGCAGGACACCTTGGCGTGGAGAAAACTTTCCATAGAATTTCCGAAAATTTTTTCTGGCCTGGAATGTACACGGAAATAGTAAAATATATTCGAAAATGTAAAATTTGCCAACAAACAAAAGCAAATAACAAACCGAAAATAGGACCAATGGGTAAACGAATCGTGGAGGAACCATGGACGATGGTTGCTTCCGATATAATAGGCCCATTACCCTTATCGAAAAATCGAAATAAATATATTTTAGTATTTCTGGACATTTTCACAAAATGGGTGGAAATAATTCCAATTAAGAAGGCAGACGGAAAAACTATCGAAGCAGAGTTTCATAAAAGAGTAATTTCCAGATGGGGAACGCCCAGAATTTTAGTCTCCGACAATGGCACAGAATATGCCAATAAAGTGATACGAGAAATGTCGGAAAAATTCGGAATAAGACACTCTTTTACGCCAAAATACTACCCGCAAGCAAACCCGACCGAAAGGTCTAATAGATCGATTAAAACGGCAATTAAAGCTTATTTAGATAAGGAACAGAATCTTTGGGATAAAGACATCGACGATCTACAATTTGCTTTAAATACCTCGAAACATTCCTCGACAAAATTTTCACCAGCTTTCCTCAATTTAGGTCGTGAGCTTCAACCTTTTCAAACACTGAAAAAAGATTTCGAAAATCCGGACGAAATTGAATTTCAGGAAGTTGACAAGTGGACAGAAAGACTGAGACGCTTACAAATTATTAAGGACGAAGTTCAGCGAAATTTAGACAAAGCGAACGAAAATCAAGCGAAATATTACAATTTGCGTAGACAAAAATTAGAATTCGAAGTAGAAGATCTAGTCTGGAAAAAAGACAAATCCCTTTCCAGCAAAGATTTAGGAATTGCGCGAAAATTGAAAAAAGATTTCGAAGGTCCATATAAAATCATTCGAAAAATTTCCCCCACAATGTACGAATTAGGAAAAATTCGAGGAAAATCGATAGGATCATGGAATATAAATGATTTGCGAAAATTCGTGGAAAATGAAAATTAGAAAAAGTTTCAGAAAAATTAAATACAATTAAATAAAAATTGTAAGAAAATTAAAGAAAATTTTCAGGAAAATGAGTTAGAATTAAATAAAATAATACGAAAATCAAATAAAAATTAAAGAAAAATTTCAGGAAAACAAAGGAATTTGCTAAAAAATAAGAAAATTTTCATAGAAACTTGACGAAAATTTTATGAAAATTTAATGAAAATCGTAGGAAAATTAAACGAAAATTTATTGAAAAGCTTAGGAAAATTATATGAAAATTTAATGAAAATCATAAAAAAAATAGTAAAACTTAAAAATAAACGAAACAGACGATTATTTTTTTTCCTTTCGTTACACATTGACGAATGTAAAATTAAGAAATGATGGAAAATTTTTTATTTCCTTTACAGAAAATGGAAGCCAACAAAGCCAACAGAAAAATAGCTAACGAGGAAAAAATCGAAAAATTAGAAGAAAGAAAAACACGATTACAACAAGAAATAGAAGAAATCACGATTAAAATGAACAACATGAAGGAAGAGTGGAATAGAATGGAAGAAAGACGCCAAGAACTCAAAAAAGACATTAACACAATTAATATTTGGAAAACAAGCATTCAAATGGCAATAAGATCGGAAGCGGAAAACAACAACTCAGAGGAGGAAGACAACAACTCTGAAGGAGAAAACAACAGCTCTGAGGAAGATAGCGAACCAGAAACAGTGATAACTGTACAATTCCAAAAACACGAACCAAATGACAACGACAAAGAAAGCAGTTCTGACGACGATTTTTACTCCATAATAGACGAAGAACAAATCAATTTTAATCATCAACCCTATACCTACGAAAATGAAAGAAGAGTCTTCTTAGGAAAGTTGGCATGGAGAGTCACTCGCAGAGCCATCATGGAAAGCCGTACAGAAGAAAGACAGGAAATAGAGAAACAATGGAAGGAAGAACGTGAAAAAAACCAGAAGCTGGTAGAAGAATTCATCAAAAACCAAAAATCAAAAATGGAAAACAATACCAAAAAATAAAAACAAAATCCTTTTCTCTCTTTTCTTTCATTTATACTTTACATTAAAAACTTAAACAAACAACCAGATTTTAAGTTCAGACATAATACCAACTTTTTATTTTTCATTAAACAAAAATTACTTTTTTTCATTTCACGTGAAGACAAAACAAAAAATGTATCACGTTAAGATCCTACATTTCATACTGTGTAACAAATAAGAAAATAAACGAATAAAATCAAATTAAAATTACACTGAATTGTGCTATTAATCAAAAGGAAAAAATAAATAAAATAAAAATAATGAAAATAAAAATAAGAAAATAATTACAAAATTTTTGTCTACATTCGAAAAATAGACTTTTATATATCAAAAATTTTTTTTTTTTTTAAAAAAAAGGAAAAAATTCTTCTTTTAAAACTGTTACAGAAAATGGCGGAAAATATGGAGATTTGGATTTGCAGATTCTGCAAGAAAGAGGTCTGGAAAACGCACTACCTAGTACACGACGAATTTTGCGGAAGAAGAAATTTAAAAGCACGAGCGGGTTACTGCGAGCCAGCGGAAAATAGGAGAAAGTACGTAAGAGCGAATTGGGATAAACGTCGAGAAGAACTCAAAGAATTTCTGGAAAATAGTTTAGCGGAAAATTATACAAAAACAACAAAAAATGTTAAAGAAAATACTGAACTTATAGTTCTCGATACTAATTACGAAGAATTATTAGAAAATCAATAGAAAATTTTTGTTGTTATGAGGGGTTACACTTCGTTCCGTTTAGGGGAAGGGGGGTGTAACGTGACGTTACGAATTTTCCCGCGTCTGCTGCGAATCAGGCGATTGAACCCGGAAACAGCCGAAGGGCCTCGAGGGTGTCAATCGCCGGATTCGCGAGCAGACGCGACACTTGTGATTTAGCTCTCGTTTTTGTGACAACGTGCATCCTTCCCTGTAAATCGCCTTGACTGTCGGCTAGTGAATACTGTGCAATTACGCTACGGATATCGACGTAAGTTAAATAAATGTGTAATTAAATAATTCCGTTGTCAAATTAATATCCTTCCCTCCCCTTTTTCCCTTGAAATAATTAGCTATTCGGGCAGCTAATTATAACGTATGATTCTATTTCATAATGTTTCCTATATAGTGTGATATATATCGCGAGGCGAGATATTTTTGCCCACAACAGTCAAGAAGAAAATCCAGATTAAGAATTTCTTATAACAGTCTTGTTTCTTTTTGCTCCATTGCAACTTTTTTTTTTGCGACAATAAAAATTGATTAAATTCCTCATATTTTTTTCATGTTCTTAAAAAAATATTTTACTTGTTGAAGAAAATTTAGTGTATAATAAACTAATTGAAAAAAAAATTGTTCTGACAGTTGGTTACGCCTAAAGTCATTTAAGAAGAAGAAGAAGAAACGTGACCGTATTTTGTCCAATTATTCAATTTCAGAGTTTAATTTAAGAATTTTTTTCGAAATTCTACTTTTCTATTTCTAATTTTAGGTTTACATTGATAATTGTTAATATTTCCTTTCTTGAAAGATTGCCAACATGTTTCATTATTGTTATAATGCTCCACTTTTATAACATCATACATTTTCACTTGTTTACAAAATCAGGTTATGAAATCGATTATATAAATAGAAAATAGAAAGAATTGATTACATTGAAACAAATGCATCATAATAAAAAAAAATTATACATTTGTTACGAATTTTTAAAATTAGATATTTGAATACATGGTGAATTGTTTATTGGAATTATTCTCAATTATTTTGTCTCGTGAAATAATCAAGGAGTTTGAAATAAAAATAAAATTATATATTAACGAATAAAGATTAACATTTATTGTAAATGTATTGAGTGATACAATTTTTAGTGTTGTGTTCTGGAACAGATACATTGCTTTCAATGGTCCAAGCTAGACTGGTTAAAAAGGTAATGGGTTGTTCAAAAAATACACATTTGGCAACATCGAAATTTTTTAGTCAAAATTTTGCAACGTAGCATTCAAAAATGTGCAGTTGTAGACTGTTTCGGATTATAGTTATAAAAGAAATTTCTAAAGAAGAAGGTAATATTATTTCTGTCAAGATCTTAACGTGTAAAAAGACAAATCTGCGAACAAAAGATATTCTTTAAAATAAGTTTTCAATACCTATAATTATGTAAATTCCGCTTTTAAGAAATATTAATTTTCTTAAACTGTTGTACGACAGAACAGGGATAATAAGAATTGACAATTTTTTCTTTGATGTATACAAATGTTGATGACAAGAAATTGTGGGTCAAGAACCCATTACGTGTCATATTAAACTAGGTTGGATGTTGTAAAATAAAGAGGAAAATTAACATAAAACACATAAACAAGGGAATGGTATTATTATTCAATGGTATTAGTATTCCAGTGGTTTAAGGAATGATGAGGCTGCCAAAGAATGTCGGTATTGAAGATGGGACAAAATAATGTGCGACTTGTTGTAAAAAGAAGTTAAAGTATCTATTCTTTATCGATACATGTAATGCCTGTAAGCTACTTTGTCACGAATGGTACGTTTGGAATTAGAATGGCGATAATGTAACGTAACGGTCTCTTTAAAGGAGTTTACTCTCTGACCAGCACGTCTCGTTTTAGAAAGCATTGAACCATGACCGTCGCTTTTTCTCTCTCTCTCTCTCTCTTTCTCTCATACATAGAGAAATAAATTTTCTTTGTAAAAGCTAACTTTTTAACTTGGTTTCAAAAAAATAATGTTATATGTTCTGATTGTGTGAAGAAAAATAAGAATAAATTTGCAAAATAGACGTCCTTGACAAAGATCTTCCATAGACAAATGAAATGATGTTTCGAAATGACGTTCATTTCAATAGTAAGGTCTTTTTTATGTGTATTGAATTGCGATAATGTTTCATCTGCCGCACGAGTTTATTTAAACCATGACTCCAAAGTTTTTAACTCAATAAAAGAAATGAGGATCATAATTGAAATCCTTCAGAGTAGTCATTTGAATTAATGTTATTTATACACCCAAATGGATTCAATTATGGTGGAATAAATTTTGTTAAAATTTATTTTAAAAATCTTTCCCTTGGCCCAATTTAGTAAACGACTTAGGATCTTCATTCATTGTGACAAGATTAACATTTCTGTCGTCGAGACTAGAATGCATATAAATCTGTAAGTCATCTACGAGAAATATATGGAACAATTCTCCAGGAAAAAAATTTTCTCTACATGCTGACGATTTGTGACGATTCATTGATCTTTGCATAATTATTAATTTATCATTAAACAATCCTTGCAGTGACAAACCAAAAGTTTTCGTTAATATAACAGATTATCCTAATGACTCCTTAACTTTGTTCTTCATCAGGAAAAACAAATGTCGGCAAAGAAAAATTCCACATCGAGAAAAGAAAAACCAGCTATAAAGAGTGTAACATTGGAATACAGCTATCAATTTGTTCTCATTATCCACCAGGGATAAATTAAACCACAATTCCAAGTTCAAACAAAAGTCTCCGAATCTCCGAAACTAATGCAATTGTCGACCATCAAGTTTAATTTAATTGCTCCTCGTAAAAGTCGACTGGCGCGTGCCATCTCTGAAAAAAAGAACAGAAGCTACTTCCATTAAAACATTTTAAACTTCCTGAAAGTAAATTAACAATTTTGTAATAAATTTACCCCATCACTTAATAAATGAATCATCTAACTATATATTACCTCCTCTAAGTGCCCATGGAACTAATGAAAATTTTCCCCTGTTAACAATTTCAAAAGATTCCTTTTCTAAAAAGCTTCTAAATAATTGTTACATGAAACATTTTCACAGGAAGAAAAAGATGTTGAATATTCTTCTATTCATATATCTCTCTTTCATTCAGAAAATATTTTCCTAAATGGAAAACGCGCGTATAATACACAATACACATATAAAAAAAATGAAAGAAATAGATGCATGAAATAAACGTGAAGATGTTTTGCACATTTTCAAGATAGACAGACATACTACAAACACACATTCGCGATTCTAATATTGTCCTAGGGTTCTGCAATGGCTTCGGCAAAGAGAAGTTTAAATCGTCTCTCCCAGTGAACCGGCTGTCTCGGTGCCAACGACAGCGAAAATTCTTCACGGTTCCTCCATCTCTTGAATTTTCCTTGATCTATGTTCTATGCCCAATCTCATTCGCGGTGATAATATAACTTTGCCGGAATATTAAACGAACGAAATTGCCACTTTCACTTCTCACCTTCTTTTCTTTTATAAAAAATATCACGGGCAATTTTTTTTTTTTTTTTTGCAAATTAGAAAAGTGATATGGACAATCTCATCTAGACAAGATTAATCGAACCACATCCGGTGAGTTGAATTTGTTTTTAATATTTTTTTCCCTTTAGTAATACTTTTTCAATAAGTGACATCAGAATTATTTAAATTTAAAACAAGTCCAAAAAATTAATCAAAAACATTAAATATACTTTACCTGGAAAATTAAAGATCTGATGGAAAAATTGAATTTCCTTTTTCAATTTAAACATAAACAACAAATTGAATTGAATTGATTTAATTATTTTTACAATATGATTAGAATTTTTTTTTAAAGAATAAAAATTTCTGAAATTTCTGAAACTTTTTGACGATATTTATTGCAAGTCGAATGGCAGTTTAGAAATGTGAGACGTAATGGACTGAGAGAAGAGACAAGATTGGCTAAAGGCGATGTGTTATTTTTAAGCGTTGAGAAGACTCGTCTCTTCCGTACGTTCAAAAGTCTGCGAAGTTCACGGCAATTGCGAGAAATCTCTCGTAAAATGCAAACGAAATCAATTTTACATATCAATGGAATGCTTATAAATTCTCTTCAGTATTAAAAAAAAAAAAAATTCCAGTAAAATTTTGTAATATTTCTGAATATGAGAAAAAAAATTTATAGAGAATGTTATTCAAGTTGTGGATTAACTAAATTAACAAAAATTAATTTTAACCTTTTCTTATGAACTAGATATTAAAGTTGTACTTCCAAAAGACTAAATGCCAGAGGACATTGACTACTTTTCAATTGCAAACTCACATCATCCAGAGAACATTAATAATATGCTCCTTGTCTGGACGCAGCAACAGCTCAAAAATTGATTATTACATAAAACAGAGAAGGGAATGGTCAAGTTTTTTTTTATCAATAATTAATTTTAATTACATTTAGAATCTCGAATTAAGACCACTGATAGAAGGACGAA